GGGCGCGGGGGTGCCGGGGCCGGGGCCGGGGTGTGGGGGTGCCCGCGGGGGTCCCGGGGTTCGGGCGGCCGCGGGGGTCGCACGTGGGGTCCGGGGGTCGTTCCCCCTCGCTGCGGGTCTCCGGGGGTCAAATCCCAACACCGGCTTCGCCCCCGCGGGTGCCCCGCATGACAACCCTGCTCCTTTTGACCAGTTCTCACTTTCGCATACCCGGATGTCGTTCCACCAGGGATAACGACAGGAAACCGTTATCCCCGGCAACGGCGCCACCTGTTGAGCGCATCGGTCCTGCACCGCACAGGGCAGCGCGAGACCCTCCCGGCTGCGTCACGCAGGAGTTGGTTGTAATCCTTCATCGTGAATATACATGGAGTTTCCGCAAGCCGCTCTGGCCGAGTGCGACAACCATACCTCTCGCGAACCCCTACGACAAGATAGGGTCTACGCGAGGCACGACTTACCTCCACCTTACGGGAGTTGTCACCTCCCTTGGGTGGGCGTATCCCCGCCAAGTTACCAGTCCACAGTACGAAAGCTGATCAGATGCAATCGCAGAGGTGGACCAGCCGATGGCGTTTCTCGTGCGCTGTAGCATAGGGGGTACCCGTGGTAGTACGCCTCTATCGAACTAGCACGCAAACCGACATCTTGGGGGGCTGAAGTCCCAAGCGCGACTCGTCGTCGGTCGACTAGGACACATCCCACACACCACGTGCACACCACTCTATAGAACATAAAAATAAAAACACACCTACCTACACACATACATATACGAAACGACAGGGGACAAACAACGCGACAACACTTCTAGTCCCTTAGTAGCCAACCCATAACTTTCCGATGCGAAAATCGGATAGGCGTCGCGCGCGAGACTTAGTATAAAACCGCGCGGATGCAGGGCTAACTCATATCGACTCGCAATGCAAGCGTACGCAAGCGGTCGCAATGATGGCGTACTATGTAGTACCCATAGTCATGCGGTCCTTGTTGATCTCAAGGGTCACATTCGACACTC